CCTAGTTGCCCGCCTAGAGCGCCTAATCGGCCGCCTAGGCCGTCTAGATTCGCCGAACATTACTTTGCTTTTTAATTGTAATTTTCCAAACGATATACGTACTTTAACTTTAGTCATGGATATAAGGAAATGAAGTTGTAAATTAAGATAAAACTATACATGTTTGTATATACTCCGTATATCTAAATTTAATCATTATTTATATTTCTAACATAATGAAGTTAAGTGATTAGTTATCATATACTACATATGATTAGATGTGATAATTCTATCTTTTATGTTTGTTAATGTATATGTATATATGTGTTTGATACACACAAAATAACAATATTACTTACCATATATATGCAAAAATGTAGATAAAAATGCAATTTCTATGTCTCTGACTAGTCCCCGCCTAGGCGGCCCGCCTAGCCGACTAGGCGCTAGGCGCTGGGCTGGCGCCCGACTAGCGCCTAGCGCCTTTTAGAACATTGGTTGGGGTTATTGAAAGCTTACACATAGTTCGCATTTTAAATTGATCTGGTATATTAGGACTGGGCATATCAGTTTTCAGTTTGGTTTTTATCGGTTTCAGTTCGATTTGGAACGGGTTGGAAGAATTATTCCCAAACAAAAACCATACTATTCTTCGGTTTGGTTCGGTTCAGTTTAGTTCGATTTGGTTCGGTTTGGATTTGTTAATTTTTGATAAAATATGAAGGATTTTTTGAATTTCTTTAGTTCTGTTCGGTTTTATTCGGTTTTTACCGGTTTCGATTCGATTTAATACGGTTTGGAAGAAATACTACCAAACTCAAACCAAATTGCATACGGTCCGGTTTTGGTTCGGTTTAGTTCGGCTTGGTTCGGTTAAACCAAACCGTTATGTCCACCCCTATGGTATATCATGCTGTAATCGGTTAGAGATTGTTTTTGAGAAATTGATCCTATAGCTAGGATCACTCAAAAAATAATCGATAGTTGGAATTATTAACCTGTAATAATGGGTATTATTATTTTCAATTTTCAGTTCATTTTAGTAATACTACTACGTACATCGCAATGGCCCCCAAAACAATCAAGCCACAAAGCTATCATCTTCCTTACTCTTACACCTAATAATTGCTCTGTAATGGAAACCCAAGCAATTTTCCTAATCCTAATACTATTATCCACGATCCGGTTAAGCAGTGCCGATGGAGGCGAATGGTCCGCCGCTCACGCGACTTTCTACGGAGGCGCCGATGCATCTGGTACCATGGGTAAGACCCAGAAAACAATGTACACAGGGAAGTTCACCTCTTGCTAATGTTTGATTTCTGGATGGGGATTTGGTGCAGGTGGAGCTTGCGGCTATGGAGATCTGTACGGCGAAGGGTATGGAGACGGAAATGCTGCTTTGAGCACCGCCCTTTTCGAAGACGGGCTGAGCTGCGGTGCTTGCTTTGAAATCAAGTGCGTCGACGACGGCGAGCAGTGTTTTCCGGGCTCAATTCTTGTGACAGCTACGAATTTCTGCCCTCCGAGTTCGCTGCCCAGTGATGCCGGAGGATGGTGTAATCCTCCATTGAAACACTTTGATCTGTCCCAGCCTATTTTCCAGCACATTGCGCAGTACAGAGCTGGAATCGTCCCCGTTCAGTACCGAAGGTAAGAGTTTTTTTTTTTTGTTTCTGTTTTCAAATAAATGCTTAGTTAAGACTTAAGAATAAGTTTTTCCGAAAATATAGGAGTACAGAGTTTTAGAATAAACTGTTTTCTTAGAATAAAAGTTATCCTATTTTTCCTAAAAAGGGTAAACTACAGTCATATTGAAATCTACATCAGACATTAAAACAGGTCAATGCATTAAAAAGATGAAACTATTAATTACAAGTATGATTTTAGTATGTTAAAGTGTCAAACAATACTTGCTCCTATACATTCTGAAGGCAATTTCTATTTTCTATATTCTTTATCAATAAAATGAGAACCGTTATATATAAATGGGAATTATATAGAATAAAAAATAATCCACGAGAGTACAAGAAAATAAATATGTTTTTGGACAAAATGAATAATAATCAAGAAAATTATAAAATATGACACTGGATTTAAGCATCTGGATATAACTTGGGTTTACATTTCATGAAATTCTCACATGTTAAACAGGGACGGATCCAGGATTCTGAGTCAAGGGGGGCGAAATTTTTCATTAGTGTAGGGGGTGAATTTTTTTTTGTTAGTGTAGCGGGGTGAAATTTTTTCCCCTAGTATAGCGGGGCAAATTTTTTTCGCTATTGTAGGGTTGTGCGGCTATTTTTATTCAAAAAATGATATTAATTCATGCACATCCTGAACGACATTTAAATCTATTACATTCTAAGTTTAGGCGATGACAAAGACATCAACCAATACATTTTTAATAACTTCTACATTAATTGTTTAACCTCATGAATCGGTTATTGAATTGTAATTTTTGTCCACCAAGGAGGGTGTTCGTGAGTCATGACTCATGAGAAGTTTTCTTAATATTACAATAGTAGTATACTAATATGTATGAGATTGTAATTTTTAGAATAATATGCACACACACACACATATATATATATATATGGTGCATATTATATTTTAATATTTTTATTAATTCTATAATAATTTAGAGTTTATTATCCATGCAATAAATTATTTTTAGAAAGAAAGAAGTAAATGAATTATGTAATCTAATGTCTATAAATATTTATATTTTGGATTCATTTCACGTGATCTAAAAATTGTGTAATTAGTATGTCTGGTATTTAATATTGTTTGATATATGTTTTACGAAATCCAGTACTTGTTATCTAATAAAGATAATTAAACATTACAAAACTAGGAATTCTTATATAATAAGTATCCTAAATCTTAAATAACGAGTTACTCTATTGTTTATTTGTTTAAGTTATGTAAATTATTTTAGATGTTTCTTCTTTTAAATCTCCAATTAAGTATTACATTATGTAAAACTATATATATTAATTTTGAAAATTAAAAGCTAAGGGGGGCGAATCTAATTAAATTATGAAAGTTTTATGAAAATATTACATATATGGTAAAAAAAATTGAATGTCCAAGGGGGGCGGTCGCCCCCCCGCGCCCCCCCCCTAAATCCATCCCTGATGTTAAACCTACAGGATCCGTGTTCAATACTCAATGGAGTGAGTTTGATCCGAGTTTATCTCTTCCATTTTCTTTTTTTGTCTAGTAGATTTTATTTGAGATGGTTTCACTGATAATTGTGTAAAACTTGCCTCTGTTCACCTCAAAGCTAATAAACACTTTTAGAGTGTATACCTTATTTTCCATATTCATCCGTGATAGTTTTGTTAATGTGATAGTTTTTTTGCTTGCTTTAAAATGTCATAGTTTTTTAGCTAAAAAGGTGACAGGTCTCATTTTTATCAAGATCAAGATTGAGACAGATCAATCTTGATATTCATGTTCTCTTTGAGTCATATGGATTGTTTGTTTTAGCTGAATTAGCTTTAATAAAATACTCCATATTAAATTTGAGAATTCATCTGAAAAGGCCACCTTTGTAAGAGGAGTAGCCCCAAATGTGAGTTTGTATTTGCGCGGTATATGACGACTTAATACTCATCCTTTGAGGTCTACTCAAGTTTTTGCCTTATTCACAATCAATAACACATGTATCTGTTTCAAATTCTGCTGCTTCACTAATAATATTTTCCCCAACCCAATCATATTGCCATTCCTAACCAAGTACAGAGTTCAGCTTAACTTGAATGACTCAAAATGGTAATAGGGTTCCTTGCAAAAAGAGTGGCGGCATCAAATTCACGATAACAGGTCACTCCTACTACAACCTGGTACTGGTAACTAACGTAGGAGGCGCAGGGAATGTTGTTCATGTCTCCATCAAGGGATCCAACACCAGTTGGTTACCAATGTCTCACAATTGGGGCCAAAACTGGCAAAGCAACGCATACCTCGATGGACAAGCACTGTCTTTCGAGGTCACGACCAGTGATGGCATCTCTATAGTCTCCGACAATGTGGCTCCTATGAGTTGGTCTTTCGGTCAGACGTTTACTGGTGGGCAGTTTTCCAGTGCACACTCCCCTGGTTCACAGCAACCAACTCACGAGCCCTACGGACAGCAACCCACTCGTGAGCCCTATAGACAGCAACCCACTCGCAAGCCCTACAGTGGCCCGTCCACAGGGAGCCAATCATCTGCTTCCAATTCATTGTCGACAATCAGAGTCAGATGTCTTAATTTTTTGGGACTTCTTATAGCTTTTGTAGAAGCATGGACGCTCTTTTGGTTGCATTGTCTTTAAGAGAGCTATTCAAAATATTGCAAACTAGCGTGTATATATCGTATTCACGAGTCGCTTGATACGGAAAGATCTTGTGCTAAGCATTTTGTTTGCTGAATAAGCTTCTTACGTAGTATGACTGTTGAAGGAGTATATATATATTGTAAGAAGTATATACTCCATAATACAGAGTATCTTGTACTACGTAATGAACTTTTTCTTTAAAAAAAATACGATAGTATCTTGTAATGAACTAAAAAAATCACACTTCTAGTTTTGAGAACTGCCAACAAGAGATTGAAAAGCATTTGTACTTGTTTTCAGAAATTTGTTTATTTAATTTTCAAAAGAAAGTGAACAACATATAGAAAACGATACCGAATAGTTTTAGTAAAATGTAGGTAAAATGAATGAATGAAATTGTCTTTTTAGTTTCCAAAGTTAATTACAGATTATTATTTGACCAGGTTTATAAACAACAAAATCGCTCTCAAGTCTCAACTTTTCTCAACTTTTAAATAGAAAAGTTGTAGACTAGTAGCAGACTAGCAGCTTGACAATAGGTCCACTTTCACATTAGCTAGCATTTTATGTACAAGCAAGTACAAACATTCTTTATTAAATATCATTTGTGAGAGATGGAAGGATATCAACGTACTTCCACCTGTGATCATTTAGAAAAACTCACGAAACTCATTGAAAAGTAAATCCATTTGCCACAAGTAGAATAACTTATGTTCACTGGCAAAAGATACCACAAAAGTTTGGCGAAAAACAATTTAATTAACAGCTGAAGTTTAAATTTGGAATAGCATGCCAATATTTCTAGTCTTTTTTCTCCGTTAAACTAATGAGAAAAACATATTGACAAAGCAAAAACAAAAAGTAATGAGATCAAAACTTTTCGAGACATAAAAAACTCAACAATTGTCTCTTCTCCTAGCTAGTTGACGGTCAATATCTCTATCGTGCCTTCTCCGCCGAGTCGGAGCACCACAACAATGTCACCGGCACAACAGAGCCGATTCTCCTTTGCGTATCCAAAGGCTGCCTCCGCCACATCACCGCCAACCACAACCATGCTAGATTTCTTCAATTCAGTGCTAGAAATCGGGAATATCCCTCGGTGTATCAATCCATGTCCCACTTGAGCATCGTCGGAGCTCACCACTGACAGAATGGGCATGCCAGGTCTATACTTCGCCACCAATTTGGATGCACCACCACCATCGGAGAATACGACAATTAGGGCAGCTTTGGTAGAACTCGCTGCCTGGACAGCGGAGCAGGCCAAGCTTTCCTCTGAACTCATCGGCGCCGGAGAATTTTCCACGGCCTTGTGGAAAACCACATGGTAATTGATGCACTTTTCGGCTTCAGAGCAGATATTAGCCATGGTTCTCACGGCCTCTTCCGGGTACGCGCCGGCCGCCGTCTCGCCGCTAAGCATGACGCAATCGGTTCCGTCTAAGACGGCATTTGCAACGTCCGTAGCCTCAGCACGCGTGGGGCGTGGGCATTTGGTCATTGATTCCAACATCTGCGTCGCCGTGACAACTGCCTTGCCGAGCACGTTACACTTTCGGATCATTACTTTCTGCGCAAGAAATATCTTCTCGATTGGAATTTCCATACCTAAATCACCCCTGGCCACCATGAAAGCATCTGAATTCTCCATGATCCCATCCAAATTATCAATGCCTTCCTGATTCTCAACTTTCGACATGATCACTATATTCTTAGCGTGCTCCCCAAGCAACTCCTTCACCACGACAACATCAGACCCTTTACGGACAAAAGACAGAGCAATAATGTCAATCTTGTTAGGAACTCCCCATTTGAGGATGTCCTCCTTGTCCTTTTCCGTCAATGTCGGAAGATCCACAACCACGCCCGGGAGATTCACGTTCTTCCGTTCTCCCAACACGCAAGTGTTCTCGCACCGACACCGAACCTGGCCTGATTCCTTGTTGCATTCTAACACCGTCAATGTGACTGTTCCGTCTGAGCAAAGGATTGTACTTCCCGGAGAGACATCGATTGCAAGCTTTTGATAGGAGACGGCGATTAAGGTTTCGTCCCCGACGACGGAATAGTCACTGGTTATTGTAATCTCTTGGCCTTGTTGTAAATGGATAGGTTCTAATCTCTGGACCCTATCATTCATTAGTACATTCAAATTAGAACTGTAGATGCGGATGGATATAAATTTATATAAATTGTACGGAGGCACTACATACAATCGGTACATACTGGTATAACTTTAATACGTTTGATTATATGAGTATAAGGATAAATAATTTTTAAATAATACTTCGTATAAAATTATTTATAATTAAATTGGTGGGTTAAAATAGCGAATTGGGTCTGGGAATAAAATTAATCCACTATATTTTAATAAATAAAGTTGAAATGAAAATTGTCTTTAAAAGTTTTTTTTATCTAATTTGAACCCAATTTTATTTATTCGTTTGGTGCTTATTAGAGCCTACCGTTATAGAGTTCCCTATTTAAATATTACAAATAAATCTCGGTGTTTAAAATACCTATTTGCCTGTTTAACACGGAGTAATAAAGTATATTGTATATTTCAATATATTGAACAACCACCCGGCCCATATTATATATATACCGAGAAGAGAGAGTTTTATAAAAAAAATGTATTTTTATATATGCATGTCAATATTGTATTTGTAGCTAGATTGAATAAGTAATTTGTAAATTGTAAATTCAAAGTGTGACAGTTACGCACATTTGAATCATATAAAATTATTACTCTAAATTAGGATTAGCAAAAAAATATTTAGATGAATCATAAAATGAATTATATCAGTACTAATATAAATTATATAATTAGATACTTGTAAATGATTAATATTAATATTAAGTAGTTGTGATTGTAAATAAAAACACAAGCATCGGTATAAATTTATGATATTTGATTATTTCAGTATTAAGGGTTAAATGAGTTTTTAATAAAATATCTTTATTAAAGATAAAAAAATATTTATTAATTAACGATCAAAAAACTTGATTAATAATTAAATTGGTCCTTGAGAATAGTACATTGAGACTTTTAGAGTGACTTTTAATTTAATAGAATCACTTTTTCATAAATTCAGTAATCTTTAATTTCGACATAATTAAGGATTCTTAGCACAAAACAAAAGATACGATTAGGGCCCAGTTTTATGTTTCTTATATGGTGGGCTCTACTCGATTTAAATTGGATTATGAGAATAATAATCACTAAAAATCGACCTATCTTTAGTTTTGTGTCAATTTGATTTAAATTTGTAATTTAAAAACAAAACTACTAGTATATATGGTTTTATTAATTTTGTTAATTCGGTTTAGTTTTGTTGTTTTTTCAATTATGGTTAAGACACCTTTTGTGTAAAAAAAAATAGGGTTAAGACACCTTTCAAAAAACAAATAGGGTTAAGACAGTTTAGTTTGGAAGGAATATTACAAAATTCTACTCGATTTACATACTGTTTTAATTTGTAGGCTAGCTTCTAGGGTTTCAGTTTTGTTGAGTATTGTTTGGTTCGGCCAAACCAACTCCAAATTTCAACCCTAAGTTTTTTAATGATATATCATCAATAACGAACAATTAAAACATGTCAAGGTAAACTTAAATAAAAAAATTGGTAATTTTTCAGTCTTGGAAAAACTGATCGACAACATAAAACAAATACCAGATAAGCCCTAAATTTTTCATGTTCCAAATAATTGAAAAAGTATTGTATCATAAATTGATACTACTATGTTATCGAAATATTATAACAATTAATTATCAACAATGAAACTATATTATATATCTCAACTACTTAAAAAGAGAGAAACTATACAATAACATGTTGCAATTATTTAAAAACGCACGATGTATATGTTTAAAAATATCGGAAAATACCTTAGTGTCCAGCATGACGGCGCAAGGGATGGAGGTATTATGCACGGCGATTCGAAGGTTGTCGAGAGTTTGTTGGTGGTATTCATGAGATCCGTGAGAGAAGTTGAAGCGGGCTACGTTCATGCCGGCGACGAGAAGTCGTTGTATCATCTCGACGGACTGAGACGCCGGCCCGAGCGTGCAAACGATCTTCGTCTTCCTTTTCATTATCCGATTACTCGCCGGAAAAGTATCATCACCCTTCGTATTCATAAGGATCAAGTCAGCAATGGGACTGTTGAAAACATCACATTCCCTTGCCGCCGCTATTGGATAAATCTCAGAAACCTTTCGCTTTTTTTGGTTATTAGAAGTCAGCATTGTTATGAATTCAAAGGAAAGAACAGAAGGGGAGAGAGCTGGAAAAGCGTTGGACAAGTACGTTATACGTATGAGGGTGCGGTATTTATTTATAAGTAAAAGGAATGGGTTCTTATAGGACTAGGGTTTATGGAAATTCGGGTCTTAATTAGCTTCCTGATGTAACAATTTCGGGCCTTGTTGTACAAGGATCCTAGAATCTTACGTACTTATTTTTGAATTCTAGGTATATATAGATTTGGAAAGGTCATCATACGAATAATACGATAGTATATTGTTATTACCTGCCTAAAGGCTAAAATTTGAAGTAGAAATATAATTTAATATTAATTTGATATATTACATATTCATAATACGATAGTATATTCTTACCTGCCTAATAATACGAATAATTTGATATATTACATATTAATATTTTTCCTAATCCTAAAGCTCAAGTGATATGCGTTATACTATAATTTATGGTAAATTGTCTATTTGAAAAGGTAACACAAAAATTGTAAAGCTCAAGAGCTGAATATAGATCAACTTGTCATTTCATGGAGAAAACGAAAAATAAAAGTGAAAGTTCAGACCAATAGAGATTAGGAAAAATTGAAAACAATAATCTCAACTATGGCTGGTCCGCTGAAAATAATACCAACTATTGATTATTTTTGTATAATCCCAACTATATAGACTATCCGCCAATAATGGTCCATGACCATATATTACCTCTATAAAAAGTGAATTTTAAATAGAAATTGTTGGGTTAAGGGCCCAAGCCGAGGTTCGGCCCACTAACCCATTTTGCTAGACGAACGTCCAGTTAGAACACTAGGCCAGCCCACAGGCTCATGTGCCACGGGGATGGACGAACGTCTAGTGTTGGAGGACTCAGGCCCAGCAGCTCATCCCGACGAACGTCTATGCAGGGACAAGGAGCAGGACCACGGGCCACCAGGAATGACGACGAACGTCCCCAGAGCAAGCCTGTAGTCATCGGAGAAAACCTTGTCCACATGGTGAGTATCCACCAAGGCCAGGAGACGAACAGCCGATATCTCCCAAGGGTCCCTTGGAGCAATCCAACTCACTTCCCGGTGGACGAACGTCCCCACTAATCCGGCGGGAAACCTAGATTCTGGCGGGAAGTGCATTTAATGCTAAAGATTTGGTAGTTGGGACACCAGCGGTCCACAGGCTGCCACGTCACTACAGCCACCTGCCCATTGGCGGGTATAAATAGAAGCATTTATTCCATTGTAAAGGGTTGGCAACTTTCTATTCTTAGCACCCTAGCTATAGCATTCTATTCGCAGCACTTCTACTGCCTTGTAAGACGAACGGCCGACGGAGCCTTAGCAAAAAGTATTGTATTAGGGAGTTATTAAGAGATAATAATACCTAATCATTTACTTGCTACTTATTTGTTTCTTGACCCTTATCATCTGTCTGTTGGGCTAGTTACTCATACGCACTCCACTCGAAATCTTTGGGCTTACGTGTTGGGCCTGAAGGTTGAAGGAATAAACCTCAACACTGGCGCCGTCTGTGGGAAACTGAACAAAAAGTTTCCAAAAAACTCTCCCAAACAGCTACTAAATCTACCCAAAGCAGGCACGATGACAAGAAACAACCGCCAACGCGATCTCTCCGAGCAGTTGTCCCGCGGACGAAGCAACCGCGGGCAAACCACGGAATACTCCGAGACGTTGGGGACGACTGGGGGTGAGGGTGGTCTCACAAATCTCATCCCCCACGAAGCCAGGCAGGACCCTCGACTCATGAGGGAACTGGCGGAAACAATGCGCCGAATGGCGGACGAACAGGAGGCGAATGAAGAGGTGTATTCAGCCAACACCATCTGGACGCCCATATCGCCTGTCCGCCGCATGCAGACCCTGGATGAGACAGCGGAATCTGCCGAGCGCCGGACACCCATCCACATGAGGTTGGGTCAAAATCCGTCTTCCCATGGAGCTGGGGGGCACACCAGCGCCAGCACCCCCCGCTATGGGTGGCAAGACGATCACCGGGGACGCACGCCGGATGTCCCCTCCGAACAGCGGGGCACTATCATTACCCCCGCCGCCAGTAATATTGGACGACGTTTCCAAAGACATGGCGCCCATATCACACGAAGGCAACCCGACGCGGTTGCCCCACGAAGGAACATTGCGCTCGAGGCCGCCCCTCCTGTGTCCCCCGGAAGGGCCGCACAGGAGGCCCGGCTAGAGGCAATGGAGCGGCGATTAGCCGAAATGGACAGACGGGCAGAGGCCGCCCCAGCCACGCCGCGTTTCTCCCTCACTTCACCCTTCACCCCGAGGGTGATGAATGCGGAAATTCCGCGCGACTGCAGACCCCCCCAGGGGATAATATACAACGGGACCGGAGATCCTAAGGCCCACCTGATCAGCTTCCAGGGGAACCTCTCTATGCTAGGGGCATCGGATGAGGCCATCTGCCGGCTCTTTTTCAGCACCCTGAGAGGCCCAGCGCAAGAATGGTTCGGGCAGCTGAGGCCCGGGTCTATTGATAATTACGAACAGATGTCCCAGCAGTTCATGGCACAATTTGCTGCCAGCACCACCCCCAAGAAGAGCTTCACATCGCTCACAAGTGTGAAGCAGGGGAAGGACGAACCTCTGGCCCAATTTCTGGTCAGGTGGAGAGATGAGGTGCTTCAGGTGGATGACCTGGACGAACGGCTGGGAGTGAACATGTTCACCAGCGCTCTAGCAACAGGGGACCTGTACCGAGACCTTCGGAGAAACCCCAGCACCAGCTACACCGAGGTGCTGGCTCGGGCACAGAAGTACGCCTCCATTGAGGAGGAGATCAGATTGAGGGACGGCGCACCTGCCGCCCCCTCCCGGAAATTGGCCGATAGGCTCGGTCCCGGAGGCGGGCCATTCCCCCCGAGCAAAAAGAAGAAGACGGACGGCGGCATGGTTCCGTGGAAGGCTCATCCGGAGGCCAGCCGCGCACGCCCGGAGGAATACCACGTCCCTCTGGCCTACCCCGTCAGTCAGATTTTTAACGCAATCAAAGACAAGGGCATCCTAAGGGAGCCCCAAGACAAGAAGGCACTCATGGGTCAGGATGAAACCGCATATTGTGAATACCACCAGAGGGTCGGCCACCTCACCGACAACTGCAGGCAGCTGAGAACGGCCATCGACGAGCTGATCCGGCAAGGCTACCTGGGCGAGTTCACCCAGCTGCTAAAGAAGAATAGCCCGAGGCAGCCGAACCCGAGATCACGGTCATGGCGCCGCGACGACCAGCGCGAGGCGGAACCTAAGGACGTAGACTATCGGAGTGCTGATAAACGTCCGGAGGGGTCCCTCGGCCCGAACGGCGGAAAGAAGAAGTTGGAGATCAAAGTGATCTTCGGGGGCGCTGAGACTGGGGACACGCCTGCGGAACGGAAGAGGTTTGAAAGGTCCCTCTATGTGGGCTCCGTATCAGCACCCTCCGCCAAGAAGAACAAGGTAGAGGCCATCACCTTCGGACCGGCCGACCTACCAATGTCACCGGCCCCCCACAGGGATGAGCTGGTGATCAGCATGGATGTCAACAATGCGATCGTCCGACGCGTCCTTGTGGATACGGGCAGCAGCGTGAACGTCCTCTACTGGGAGGCATTCGAGGGGATGAAGCTGAGGAAGGACCAGCTGGCTCCTCTACGTACCCCTCTTTCCGGCTTCACAGGGGACTGCATCGATGCGGAGGGTACCATCGGCCTCCCTGTCGAGATCGGGGATGGACCTCACACCACCCGCATCCGGATGACGTTCGTCGTGGTCCGCCTAAAGTGTGCTCACAACGCAATTTTGGGCCGGCCCGGCTTGGAAGATCTGGAGGCCATCTGCTCCGTGCGGCACTCATGCATCAAATTCCCCACCGAGACAGGGGTGGGGGTCGCCCGCACGGACCCGCACATGGCCAGGGCCTGCTACACCAAGGCCATGGAGAGGTTCAGAGAGCGAGAAGCCCGGGTCAACAGCATCACTGAGAAAGCCAGGCAAGCTGACTTCGACGCCCGTCTGGAACCGGCTGCCCTGCTCGAGGAGGTGGAGCTGGATGAACCTTCGGACAGAAAAGTGTCCATCGGCGCCGATCTCGAACCCGAGATCAAGGAAGGGGTCATAGCTGTCCTCCGGAAGTTCAAAGTCCTATTCGCCAGAGGGCCGGAGGACATGCCCGGAATAGACCCCAACCTCATCTGCCACAGACTCGCCGTACGGCCGGATGCCAAGCCCATACAGCAGAAGAAGAGATACATGGCAGCCGAACGGCGAGAGTTCATCAAAAAAGAGGCGGCTACGCTCCTCAACATCAAGCACATCCGGCCGGTCATTCACGTGGAGTGGTTGGCCAACGTGGTGCTAGCCCCAAAGGGCGACACGTGGCGGATGTGCGTCGACTACTCGGACCTCAACAAAGCCTGCCCGATGGATCCGTATCCAGTACCAAGGATCGACTTGCTCGTAGATGAAACGGCGGGCTGCGAGCTGCTCAGCTTCATGGATGCATTCAGAGGCTACCACCAGGTCTTTATGCATCCTGATGATGCAGAAAAAACGGCGTTCGTCACGGCGGAGGGCGTATACTGTTATGTGGTCATGCCGTTCGGCCTGAGGAACGCCATGGCTACCTTCCAGAGAATGATCGGGATGTTGTTTAAAGACGTACTAGGGAAAACCATGGAGGCCTACGTGGATGACATCCTGATCAAGAGGCAGAAGAGGGAGGACCACGTCCGGGATATGGAGAGGATTTTCACCATCATGGAGGAGGCTAGCATGAGGCTAAACCCAAAGAAGTGCGCTTTCGCCGTCAAGGGCGGCAAGTTCCTCGGCTACATGATGAGTGAGCGGGGGATCGAGCCTAACCCAGAGAAGGTAAAGGCAATAGTTGACATGGAGGCCCCAAAGAACCTGAAGGACGTGCAGCGCCTCACCGGGAGACTGGCAGCCCTGAGCCGGTTCATGTCGAAACTGGCAGATAAGGCCATTCCTTTCTTTCAGATCATGAAGAAGGCAAATCCCTTCGAGTGGACACCAGAATGCCAGGCTGCCTTCGAAGATTTCAAGATATACCTCTCTTCTCCGCTCGTCCTCACCAAGGCGGACCCCGGGGAGCAGCTATACATGTACTTGGCAGTGGCGGACTTGGCTGTGAGTGCTGTGCTACTCAAGGAGGCGGAGGGCGTTCAGCG